TTCTGTTCCCTGCTGTGTTCTGCATTATATTTGACCCCTGGCTTGTACCTGACTATTCTCTGGATCCTGCTCTTGCTCTTAGTACTTATCTGGCTTCTGACCCTGGCTTGTCCTTGACCATTCTCTGGATTCTGATTTGGCTATACTTCCCCTCTCTGGCTCCTGACCCTGGCTTGTCTCTGACCACTTGCTGGATCCTGCTGGCTACTAGGATTGCCTCCTTGGTTGCTAAACCTAACTTACTTCTGACTATCCTTGTATTCCACAGTGCTACATCCCGCTCAGCGGCACCCAGGATTTCATACCGGCACCCGTGGTGCTCTTGCCTGTGCCCCCTGTTACACTTCAGGTGTCCACAGACGGAACCGCAAGGGAGGTCCTCCTTATCACTTCGGTCCCGCACCACGGTAAGTGACAGAAGCACTCAGCCAAACCGTGGGCCCGAAAGGAGACCTCCATGGAGGAGATTTGCCAAGAGTTATCCTCCCTCGGTCAGGCGGTGAAGGGCCTCCAGGAAGGATATTTCCAATTAAAGGGAAGATTGGAAGCCCTGACACAGACCACCTCGGTGGTCTCAGCTCCGCCTCCTCCGCCGCCTCAGGTGTACCCTGCACCACCTGTGGATGCGGCTGTCGGACCTACACCAGCACCCGAGAAATTCACGGGTGACCGCAGCAAGTTCCGTGCGTTTCGGCATAATCTCTCTATTGGCTAATAAACCCCAGGCCTGGGCCCATCGTCTCTTGGAACGGAACGATCGGCTTCTGGAATTTTCAGCTGGGTTTTTTGATGCCATGGCTTTGCTCTATGATGATCCTCATCGGGCTTCTACGGCAGAGACCACTCTGTCCTCCTTGCGCCAGGGCCACCGGGCCGTTGAAGACTATGTGGCGGAGTTCAAAAGATGGAGCTCCTACACAGAGTGGAACGATGCGGCCCTCCGTTGTCAATTCAGGTTGGGATTGTCAGACTCCCTTAAGGATGAACTGGCCCGTGTGGGAATACCGGATTCCCTCGATGAGCTCATGCACCTGGCCACTCAGATTGACCGACGTCTAAGGGAGCGAAGGCTAGAACGCTCTGGTTACTCCCGACCAACCTGGATTTTGCCCCGAGGCCCAAATTTCATGCCGGCCGGAAACTCTGTGTTCCGACCCGGTCCTTCCACTTCAGCTCTGAAACCGGCTGAACCAATGCAGCTTGGCTTAATAAGGGCACCATTGACTCCGGGGGAGAGGGAACGAAGCAGTCATCTGGATCTTTGCCTCTATTGTGGGGGTACCGGGCATTACGTACATAACTGTCCCATCAAGAACCGTAAGTTGCAACAGACGCACTTGGTCTCTGAGGTCAACTCCGGCCACCTTCCTTCTCATCTCGTTGTTCCTATCTCTTTACAGCTACCAGAGAAGGTCCTCCAGATCGCGGCCATCCTTGATTCCGGGGGCCTGCAGTTGCTTCATGGACCGCCAATTTGCACTTCTTCATAACATCCCTCTACAGCCCAAACATCAGGAACTCCTCATCTTTCTGGCAGATGATACGGCCCTCAAAACCGGACCGGAAGGCCTATACGCTAAAGCCGAAAAACGTGAGTTTGAGCAGTCATCCATCCAATTCCTCGGACTGGTCATCCCAGCTACCGGCATTTCCATGGACCCACAGAAGGTGTCCGCTATTCTGGAATGGCCTTCTCCTACTGACAAGAAGGGTGGGCAGCGTTTTGTGGGCTTTGCCAATTTTTATAGACGATTCATTCGGGATTTCTCCAAAATCATCACTCCCATCACGCAACTTACCAAGAAGGTGACCCACTTCCAGTGGCCTGCAGACGCTCAAACCGCCTTCGACCAGCTGAAGGTCCGCTTCACATCTGCCCCCATCCTGAAACTCCCAGATCCCGCACTGCCATATGTGTTGTAAGTAGATGCGTCCGAGGTGGCAGTAGGGGCTGTGTTATCTCAACGCCAGGGCCTGAAAACACTTCTGCACCCCGTGGCATTCTTTTCAAGAAGACTGAGCACCGCAGAGAGGAACTATGATGTCGGCGACCGGGAACTCCTGGCCATTAAGTTGGCCCTAGAGGAGTGGCGATACCTCCTAGAAGGAGCGACTCATCCAGTCCTGATCTACACTGATCATAAGAACCTAGAATATCTAAGATCTGCCAGACGTTTAAGACCTCGGCAGGCCCGATGGGCACTCTTCTTTTCCAGGTTTCGCTTCCACATAACCTATCGCCTTGGATCACGCAACGGGAAACCTGATGCCCTGTCCCGCATGTACTCAATGCCGGATGCCACTACGCAGCCTGACACTATTCTCCAGAACAACCAATTTCTACTACTGCAGGCCGACTTGCTCTCTCGCATCCGACAGGCTTCTCGGAAAACTCCACCTTCAGGCGCATGGAACTTGTGCCAACTAGATGACCTGTACCTCCGGGACGGAAGGGTCTTCGTTCCTGAATCAGTCCGATCTGCTGTCATCGGACAATGTCACGATACCTCCTTGGCAGGACACTTTGGTGGCCGTAAAACAGCGGACCTAGTACAGCGCTCATTCTGGTGGCCTACCCTGAACTCAGATTGTCGGAAATATATTGCGGCTTGTACCAGGTGCATCCGCAGTAAGGGCCGCTCTACCCGTGCCTGGGGCCTCCTTCGGCCGCTTCCGATTCCAGTCCGTCCCTGGACCGCTATTTCAATGGATTTCATTGTGGAACTGCCACCATCGGAGGACTGCACGGCAATCTTTGTCGTTGTGGATCGTCTCTCAAAGATGGCCCACTTCATCCCGATGCGGAGGGTGCCAACGGCAGAAACCCTGGCTCGCACCTTTATCAAGGAAGTGGTGCGTCTTCACGGAGTTCCCTCCGATGTGGTGTCCGATAGAGGAGTTCAGTTCACCTCCAGGTTCTGGAGAGCATTATGCGAAGCATTGAACATACGTCTGAGTTTTTCATCGGCATACCATCGGTCAGACTGAACGGAAGAACCAGACCCTGGAGCAGTATCTGCGATGTTTCTCCACGTTTTCCCAGGATGATTGGGTATCCCTGCTTCCGCTGGCAGAATTTGCCTATAATAACTCTGTACATTCAACCACCCGACAGTCTCCATTCTTCTCAAACTACGGTTATCATCCCATCTTCCTGCCCACACGAGTACCGGATTCCACAGTACCAGCCGCTCAAGGAACTGTGGAGTTTCTTCACACTAATTAAACTAAATCAATATTTTTTTACATTTTATCCCTGGGGGGTCCCCTTTCACTGACCGTAAAGTGGCGCATCTGTATGATGTATAGAACCTGCTGAAGCAAAAATGACATTTATATACATTTTATTGATAAAATGTAAAAAATATTGATTTAGTGAAAGGGGACCCCCCAGGCAACATATATAAAGGAATTTTTTATTTTTAATGTTTCATTTTAAGTGATGTTAAATCACTGCTCCTTTAAAAATTGTATTTTTTAAAAGTGTTTTTTTCATTGATACATGTCCCCCAGGGCAGTACCCGGATCCCCATACACTTTTTATGGCCAATTAATTGCATATAAGGCTTCAAAATGGGGACATTTAATTTTCTGAGTTCTACCCCCATAGACTTGCATTGAGTTCTAAGTTCGAATTAGAACTTTTTCCATGTTCGAAAGTTCGAGTTAGAACCGAACACGGGGGTGTTCGGGTCATCCCTACTTGGTATGTCCAGCCTGTCTTCCCCGGGGTGAACAATTGGTGTGAACAATCCCAACGAAGACATACCCACCTGATCCTCAGTCCTTGATGGAAGGATCACACGGTATAATTTAAATGAAAGCTGGTGATTTAAAGTGGAACTCCAGTTACTATTTTGTTAGTTCTCTCGAGCAGGGCCCTCCTAACCTTCTTGTAGTGAATTGTATTCTAACTCTGTTGTCTAAGAGGCCCCATTCACATGGGGTGTTCAGGGATTTCTGCGACAGGAATCCCAAGTATCCTCGTTCAGATACGGCTGCTGTACCCATTGAAATATATAACAGGGTGACAGCGGCTGTTCACATGTATTGGTACCAGGGCCGGATTAAAAGCATCATGGGCCTGGTGCTGTTGGACGGTTGGACAGGAAGCAGCAGAGGTGGCTCTCTAATTAGGTGGCTCACTCCTGTCTGGGGATCCGCAAGGCCCCAGCAAGAGGCCACCTACTATGTCTGAATACAGAGCCACGGGTGCCTCTGACTGATTGTGTTCAATCCAGCTGGCCTGGATTACCATCTGCCATGCTAGGTGATCTGGGCCGGTTGGGCCTATTTTTAGTGGTGGGCCATAATAGCCATTATGTTAATTTGGCCCTGATTGGTACATGCGGTTTGTAATAGATGATTGTCGCATCAATCCTGTGATCTCAGCCTGTCGCACCCCCTGACGTAGGTTGGGCTCACAGTACTCCAGGACTGACTGTAATCAAGAAGAATGCTGCCTCCACCGCCAGATTAAAGGAAAACTCATCCTCATGTTTCTAGCTGACCTGTGACAATGAAACTGTGACAGGTCGGCTCAGTAGATCGGGAAGTGAGCGAACACATACCGGCGCTCGCTCACTTCTCGATCCTATCACTGCAGAGAGCGTGGCAGTATTTCCCCCTCCCCTGTCCAATCCTCTAGATGGGGGAGGGGGCGGGTACAGCTCAGCTGTCACTCACGCAGCTTGGTGGATCCAGACATAATTGTCAGGATCCGTTTCAGCTGCGGCGTCAGTATACTGCAAGCTGGGTGACGGGAGGACGCTAGAGTGTGTCCTCCCGTTACCCTTAGAAGAACTATGCAGAAAAGCCCTAACCCCATAGTTCTCCTTTAAGAGGAAGCTGACATGACATGACTGGAATGGTTGAAATACTGCAGGAAAAAGGGTTTTTTTTAAATACTGAGGAGAGGAAGATGGCAGGTTTAATGCCCGGAGTATCCCTTTAAGGAATGATGAACATGACTTTAGAAATGACATAAACCTGGTGATGATCATATAAGAGTCCAACAATTGGCTTTTCATTTACTTTATTGCAGACACCACGACTGGACTATTCATTTCCTGCATGGCGGAGTACTATGCTCTTGCTCTGGCATTTTGCCATGTCTGTCTCTTCGCACAGTGACACCGAACATCTCCATAACTGTGGTCCAACTCCATACAGAGAACGGTCTCTCTGCGCTTTATACGACGTGACAGACGTGATCGCCCTACGATGACGTCACAAGCCTCCATTGACTCGCCGGCCTGTTAGTTTCCGCCAGTCCCACCTACAAGGCTTCTTTCTCTGGGGCGTGGTTTACGTCAGATCGGACAGCCATGATAGCCAATAGCGCGTCACCAAATTATCCCGGCCCCCACCGACGACCAATCGCAGATGTTTAAGACGGAGCCTCCACCGTGTTAAGGTGACCTGCAGTGAGACTGTCCTGTTGCCATTTGTGAGCGAAGCGGAGTTACTGCAAACATGTCTCTGTCCAACAAGCTGAACCTGGATAAGGTGGACGTGAAGGGGAAGAGGGTGGTGATGAGGTGAGAGCAGTGTGTGGAAGCAGGGCTTCGCTGTCCTCTGTCTGATCATAGTTCCAACAGCACCTTCCGATGGGGAGATTGTATGGAACGTGATCGGTGCATCGCTCTGTGTATGGATAGAAAGCTGTAGATGTACAATGTATCTACATGTATATAGGGAAGGAAGGTTACAATGATGATTATATACAGCACATGCTCTGCATGCATGAAGATGCGATCTGCCATTAATTCCCCTCCTATGTGTGGTTGTGACTGCTCCATCCCTACAGAGTGCTCATCTGCACAGCTGCCGGTCATCGCCCGATCTGTTAAAGCCTTTCAGTAAAGCGGATGTTTTAGTTGCGGAGAATGGGGTAAATGCGAGAAATTTCCTAGTAGATCACTACTAATGTTTCACAACTGCCTGCCATTTTCCTCATCATGCTTCATCCTTCTGCCTCAGCCGCATTGTATCATTAAAGTATTCCACTGCAAGACTGGAATGGGTAAAGGAACATAAATCTGACTGCAGAGCATGGCCTCCTTTTTATAGGGTGAGATCAGGGTCTGTATAGGAACGTCTGTAGGACGTTTTTAATTTAAAGAGATCCATGAATTGGATTGGACAGAATCCATCTGGATCACATGTCTTAACATTGGGGTTGTTTTGCTGCATTCAGGTGATGGTGCTTAAAGGACTCCTATAATGAGAAACCTTTAGTAGGCTGCCATTGCTGCCCTCCTTAAAGTGGCCCTTTCAGCTTTTTTTTTAAAAAAGAACACACCCTCCCTGATTAGAAGAGCTCTTGTACTCCCCTCTTTTGCAGCGCTGTGACCTCTTTGCCATTAGACATATCTAGGGGTGTCTGATGCCAGTGTCCCCCATTATACATTGTGGTTTCACCCTCTGACACTACTGAGCTCTGCATTGACACAGAGATCATAGGATGGAACCATGGCAAGCAGTAAGGAACACCGACATCTGGCATTTCATGAAGTGTCAAATGCAGAGGAGCCTTACCAAGACTGCAGTGCTGTAAACTGACTGGATTCCTTTGAAATGTAATTGTCTGCTGGTCTCTGACATCAGTATTTGGTGAATCACTGGTCTGGAACAAGCATGCAGCAAGTGAAGGCAGAACACCAGACCTGCATAATTTTTCCAAATATTGAAGTCTTAGGATCAGTATGACTCATGATCATTATTATTTTTATACAGGATGTGTATAGGGCCAACGCTTTGTGCAGCGGTATGACTACAAGGGAATTTGTATTTTCAGAAAGATAGATCAGCAATGGCGCCTGCATGTTTTAGGTTTGAATAGAGCTTCAATATCACAAAAAACAGGGATCCAGTATCAGTTGAAAAGTGAGGGCATGATAAATAAATATTTATATATAATTTTGTGTGTACATATGAACTGAGCACATCTCTATTGCAGTGATGTGTGGTGGCAGCATGGTGCTTGTCGTCTATAATAGACCAGGCCTGTGTGAAATAAAAACGATGGAGGACGGATGCTGAGCCTCTTTGCGGCTGCTCTCTCAGGATGCTCTGATATGTTTCCTGACCTGAAGGTCACCCTGAAGGTGGCAGGAGATGTAACGTTCTCCTCTGGAGAATAGCGCTGTGAATTCATAATACATGAAGCCCACATGGAAATGAGTCATCTACATGTGGTGGAGGCCATGTCTAAACCCTGGTATTGGGCCTAGTGATCGTTCTCTGGTTCCTCTCATCTGTTAGGTAGCATAGAACATTTATCTGCCGTTTACCTCTCATCTCTGTATTGTTTGTATGATCGCTGCATTTGTATCAGACGATGATTCTGGGTATGACCTCAAAATCAACACTGTTAGGAATGCAAGGCGACTTGGTCCTGGCTTGTTCTCCCAGTCTCACATTAATACCTGCCAGCTATGTGCAGCAGATGTGTGGTCATGTCAGGAAGGCCAAGATAATTCTGTCTGACATCTTTCTCAAAAATAAA